AAGATTAGCACTGTACTTTTCTTTGAGCTCACCAGGGACCATAACTTCCTTGTGGTATCGACAGGTCAAGGCGCCTGTTTCTCCCTTTTTTTCCCCTCCCTATTGTTTCATTGCACTTTTGCTGCGTCTGTCCGATGCTTTTCAATCTGTGACCCTCGGTACGGTGATGTGCGCTGTGGATTCGACGCCTCACAGATGTGGTGTTTTTATCATGAATGGGGTCATCAGCTTGCTCTCACAAGGCCAACTCTGCCCTTTTTTCTTTTCTTTTCTCTTTTTTGCTTTTAAAGCTCTTTTTGCAAGCCCCGTATCGAAACGGTGGGTGAGAGAACGGCGTTTTCTGCCTTTTCTACGCTTCGTTCAACAGGTACACGTGAGAGAGATTCTGATAGAATGAAAAAAGCTGATCAAACCTCTCTTTGTTTTGTTTGTTGGAGTTTGTTTGTTTGTTTGTTGGAGTTTGTTTGTTTGTTTGTTTGTTTGTTTGTTTGTTTGTTTGTTTGCGTGTCATCCTCGAGTGCGCAGGGGCCTCATGCTAAACTTCTTTCTCATGCTAATCTTCTTTCTCCGTATCGTTCCAGTTTCCATGGATGTAGCGGAGGACAAACCTCTTTAATCTTTGCCGTACTTTTGTTGTTTTGATCATGACCCCTCTCACAAGTCGAACTATACGTGGTGGTGGACTGTTGTTCTCCCGATCCCTTCTCTCTCACGAGTACCAGATTCAAGAGTAAGGGTCTTCCCACAGGGTCCACACCACTGTCGAAAGGCAAAAATAAATTCGACGGCTGTTAGAATAAATTCGACACCCTCCCTTCTATAGTAGTTTGCCCCACTCCCCACCCCCCCCTTTCGCCACACAGCAGCACTGCACTGTAGAATGGACGCACTTGTGAATGCAACATGGAAAATAGACGAACGCCCCTGCGGCTGAGGGTACTATACCCATCAGTCACTGCATCCCGACCTCACGCCCACTCACCAATTTCGAGAAGTAGAAGGATGATGGCGCAGCCGAGGACTGTCGAAAGCACCCGAGTAGCAGGAGGCTGTGTGGGGTTTCAACAACGTTTTTTTCTTCTTCTTCTTCTTCTTCTTCTTCTTCTTCTTCTTCTTTCTTTTTTATTTTTTTTTCTTTTCTTTTCTTTTCTTTTTTTTATTTTTTTTTTATTTTTTTTTATCCAACAACTTTCAAAAGGAGGAGGTGTCAAAAAGAAGCATTCTCTGCCTGACAACGTACTTGCGAATTTTCTTCCCGTCTCCAATTTCGACAGACTGGGTGGCCAACAAGAGAAACTATACAAAATCGTGTTTTCGACAGCGCTGTGGGTCTCGCCACACCACTCTGGAAATGTGCAAAATGAGAATGAACTTCCCGATAGAACATGGCCCGATGCGCCCGCAACATTTTGGTCTTTTTCACATTTCGAGAGTGGTGTGGCGAGGCCTTAAGGCTCGGTAGTGCAACATGCAGCCTCCCCACACCCGCTCGGGAATTCAACTTGCAGCCTACCGGTAGGCGTACTTTTGTTCTTTCGATCATGACTGCTCTCACAATTAATCGTTCTCTCTCTCTCTCTCTCTCTCTCTCTCTCTCTCTCTCTCTCTCTCTCTCTCTCTCTCTCTCTCTCTCTCTCTCTCTCTCTCTCTCTCT